AATAGGAAGCCTCAGTAATAAATTCTGTGGTCCCTCCATTCCCCAATTTAACTAGAACTCAGAATCCTATTTTCTAGTAGAAGATGGAAAAGTAGCGTGAGTTTTTTTTTTAAAGGGAAGAAACGTGTGTTTCAATTTTTCTTAAAAAAAATGCTTTCTTCTCCTCTTTGGACTAGGAAGACATCTCTATAAATAGGGATTCTTCTAACCTAGATTGAGAGAGTGTTCTATACAATACTTGCCCACCCAATTATTGAGAGAGTTCAATTGTTGATTGGGATCACTGTAGAAGACTATAGAACTGGAGTTGAATTTACTTCAAGATATCTACACACGCTTCAAGAGGTAATCCTGAGTTAATTTTCAGCATACTTTGTATGTGATAACTATTTGTGATTGTTATTTATATTCATGCAAGATGTATGATTCTGGAATGCTTTCGCTGTATATGCTATTTTTCAACAGTTTATTGACTATGGCAGCCCAATTTGGCGATGATCCCAACATCGCTATTGACATGCCGATTAGATATAAATATTTGATATGATTAAGTTTCTATCGAGATCAAGATACTAATAGTTCATTAGCATATAGTAATGTTAGTTATAAACTTGAAGGAGAGTCTAGAGGTGGAGTCAATGGTGTCACGCTTTATCACCACACAACAAAGTAGATTTTGCCGCCCTCCCAATCCAGTTTACTTCACTTTTCATGTAATGTATGTATGTATCTCTTTCATCTTTTGGGTTTACTATCCTACTCTGTGCTTGCTTTGCTTTTAGTTTGATTTCAACTTGTGTTTTTTGTTTAATCAAATTTATGTCTTCAGAAATATTTATATATGTTTGTATTGTTTGTTTCAACTGAATTTAGAGCTTTTTGCTTCTTCTACTACTTTAGTGTTTGATTTTACAATGCGCTCTATCTTTTAAATGTATTTATTTATTTTTTGGAGCTGCCTCAGAGTACTAATTTTCGTCAGTACGTTATTTTCAGCTTCATCATAGGCAATCTTTTGTCAATTCTTTGGATTAATTAGTAAATAGTAATTTAGATGCCCATGAATGGGTTTAGACTTCAGAGTTAAAACTCTGTTTATGTGATATTGCGTTTATTAAATTGATAAATATAGATCTAATAGTTCTATTTTTTGTTTTACGAATCGTTTCTATTACAATATTTTATACTACATTTCAGTTCCTTCCTTTACGTTGGACTGCTTTTCTTTTTCTCAAGTCTATTTTTTTGTATAAAACTTTGACTTATTTGGATTTCTGCCGTTTATTTGTGGTAATTCAGATGACACATTTCTTTATGTACATAGATGAACATTATAATAGATTATGTTGTGAAAATTTTAGAATGAGATGTTACTTTTTCCATTATATCTGCAATTTGCAGTTGTGATGAATTATTTTTTATTTTGCTATCATGATTGAAGGTTAAACAAAAAATACAATATGAATCAACATAAAATAAATTTCTTCAATGTGGATAATTAACTAGCTTCATGCCAGTTTTTTCATTTTTATGTGATATTGATTATTCCTTTTTCTAAAACTTTAACTATCTGCAAGTGTTTGATATGATTTTTGGTGTGAATCAGACTTAAGTTGCATCTGACATAGTCGTTCGGCTTAGATTTATGCTATGATTAACAATGTCTCTTTCTCATGTATATGGTTAAGTGAGTATACGGTGAATCTCCTTAATGATAACTTTGCAATTGTAATGAAGTGTTTTTCATTCTTCTATTGCAAGAGTCAGTGAAGTGCATCTTCTTAAAATTTCACATTCTATGTGGTTATTGTCCTGCTCACAATATTCACTCGTAGGAGTCCATTTACGCATTCAGGTAAAAAAAACTCTTGGGAAAAGAAGAAGACATCTTCATATACGAAAATATAATGAATCTGGAAAAAAGAAATCACCAATCTTAATGGTGGCTTACAGATGTTTTTACTTGATAGTTGAGCATTTCAAGTGTTATATTTCTCTTGTTATAATCCGTGAATATTTATATAATTGACCTCAACTTAATTAATATTAGTTGTGGCATGATTTTTTTTGGCCGTTATTGGGTTAGGAATGTAGGGAACTCAAAAATGGGTAATTAAAAAGAATGGTATTTTCCATGTATGAGAGACAAATTGGACAACTGCTGCAGGTTATTACAAAGCTATTGGAAAAGATAGGGAAATTCATTAGATTAAAACTTTGATTGGTGTGAAAGGAACTCTGATTAGCTATAAAAAGACATGTATAGCTAAATATTCCACTTTGAATCTGAACTAATTTTTCATTATCTGTGGATACTTTTTTTCAAATATCGGAATGTAGGCAAGACGCAACACTATATAGTAGTGCAACAATACGTGTGTCTTTCTCAGTATACAAGCATTTAGCTCGCAAATATCTTTCAATGTTGGGCCCGTGCATTTCTACCTAGTATTTATATGTAAAGCTTAAAATGCAAATAAATGAAGAAACTACTAGGCACGAAAGTTAAAAGATCAAGTACCATCCATCCCCTCAACATTGGATTATGAGCAAAATCCAAAGCCTACTCTAAAATTTTGTAACTTCCAACTGCATATGCTTTTGATGTATCTCATAACATTATAAAATGGCAAATCTTTTTAGTACTGAAATATTGTATATGATGGCCCTTCATTGTCCTTGATAACTCTTAAAAATAACTAAACTTATTAGCCATAATGTTGTACATTATTATTAATTATATTATTTGTCTATAGTACCTCTTCATTTCCCCCACAACATTTAACATGCCATATTTATCATAATTAAGAAAAATATAAAAGAGACTTTCGAGTTTTTATAATATTATAGTACATAAACTGAAAATGTAGGGAAAATGTAAAAATTGAATATAATAAAAAGATAAATGAATGTCTTGGCTTATAAAAGATGTCAAATCACCTTAGCTTCTTTATGTGTTACTTAGTTTATATTAAATTAGATCTTGATGCCCGTTTTAAAGTGAAGATGCTTAGCTTGAAGATATACAATGATAATAATTTGTAGCTATAATGAAAAAATACGTTAAATAAGTATTTAAGTTTATAATGAAGAATGTCTACTAATAGCCTATAAAGAATTTCTAGTTTCTTTGATAAAATTTCTTGATAATCATCAACGTGAAGGACAACAGCTTTCTTTATTGTAACCAGATAGAGAATCCCAAAATCAACAGAAATTTCAAATATAGAGAAAACAAAAGGCATAATTCAGTCGATCTAAGAATAATGCTATATCAAAGCACAATAAAAGTGAAATGTAGATATAATTAAGAAGGTCACTCTAATAATTGAGTCTCCAGTGAACATATTCGTAAATTAATTTGAAAAAAAAAAACTTATAGGAAATCAGCTATAGAGTTTCAAAATCTCACTATGATTTACGTATAACTTCAGAATTTCATGATGACTTGAGCTAGCTAGAAAGGTGCCACCATAACTTATTAAATATTTTAGAGATTTGACGACTACATTTTATTTATATTTTGTTATTGTCGCATGATTCGCTCTTTAGCTTCCTCTCCGTGATTTTCATCAATCTCATTGCCTCTAATGCAAG